GCTAATGATTGTTGATTTGTTTCTGGTTCGTGGTCATTACACGCAGAGGGAGCTTGTGGATATGGAGATCTTTTCAAACAAGGATATGGACTAGAGACGGCGGCGCTAAGCACAGCCCTTTTCAATGACGGACTTAGTTGTGGTGCATGTTTCAAGATCTATTGTACGAACGCCCCACAGTCGTGCATTCCAAACGCCGGTTCAATCATAATCACCGCAACAAACTTCTGCCCTCCGAACTACACTATAGGCAAACAAGACGCCTGGTGCAATCCTCCGCAAAAGCATTTCGACCTTTCTATGAAAATGTTCACGACGATTGCATACTATAAGGCCGGAATCATTCCCGTCCGCTATCGCCGCGTCTTGTGTTCCAAGCAAGGAGGAGTCAAGTTCGAGATTAATGGAAATCCGTACTTTACCCTTGTGCTAATTTATAACGTCGGCGGTGCCGGGGACGTGAATGCCGTGAATATCAAGGGCTCAAACACCCAATGGATTGCTATGACTCATAACTGGGGGCAAAATTGGCAAACTGGAACTGTTTTGACTGGGCAAAGCTTGTCGTTTCAAGTCACAATAAGTGACGGGACGACATTAGAATTTGATAATGCAGCACCTGCTGAATGGCAATTTGGGCAGACATATGATGGGGGAAAGAATTTCTAGTTCGACCAATTTCATTGCGGTGCTTGTATTATGTTGTTTAAAGGGATTGATGGGTTGATTTCAAGTTACCTTTTCCATTTGTATAGACGGTTATTCAGTGAGTTGATCCCCAGTTAATAATGCCGTCATCCATCGTCTCCATTTTCACTTTCCATAGTCCGTCTGCAATTCCTACCGTCAGTCAAAGAACTTTGGAAAGTTCAAGATATGTACTTGTCTTTTCATAGTCATAAATTGGTGAAAAAATTGTCTGAGATTATATGTTTTCCACCATTATCATTATTATCATCATCCGAGGCTTATGATCGAAAAAAGTACGACCTCATGATCCGTATGTTTTGGACTGGGAAAATTGGTTTAAATTCATCAAACTCATTTTCTTCCCTTTAGCTTTTCAAGCTAATTTTTCTAAGTTGAGTACGTGTCTAATTTTAGGCTCTGTTTCTTTTACGGAAAATTGATATTATAGAAATTATTTTTCTAAAAATAATCACTTATATCGATTAAAATAATTCGACAATGAAAAATATTTTTATTATTGACAATAATTTCTGTCTAAATATTTTCGTGAACGTTAAAAATGTTTTTCGATTCATTTATCGACAACCGTGATTGTATCATGTCAATAGAGATTTATATTGTCCCAAAAAAATAGCAAAAGGAAAGAAAAAGGGGTTAAGTATAGGTTTAGTTTCCTAAGATTCAAAGTTTGTGCAATTTGGTCCTCCAATTATGCATTGTGCAATCAAGTCCTTTAACTTTTTGGATTTATGCCATCTAGTCCTCTACGTTTTATTTTACACAATAATCTTCTAACTTTCTTAATTTGTGCAATCGAGTGGTTTGTTTACTCCACAAACTAATATTTTCAAATTAGGATTTCATTTTTCTTATTTTTCCCCATATGTTTTCAACTCATTCAGCGGTTGGCGGAAAGAATTTAGGCAGACATGATGGCGGAAAGAATTTATAGTTGGACCATCTTCATTCTATTATGTGGTTTTGGGGATACATGCGTTTATTTCAAGTTCATTTTTATATTTGTAAGGAAGGATTCAACAAGTTGATTCGTAATTAATGCCATCCATCCTCTCGTTTTCACTTTCCATTGTCTGTTTGTAATTATGGAAATGCCCTTGTGAGTGAAAAAAAATTGTCTGGGATCATGTATTTTCTACCATTATCATTAGAGAAAAAAGCCATAAAAAATCTTAAACTATATCCACGATGACACATTAATCCTGAACTTTTTTTTTTTTGGTAACCGAGGATCCGCCACCATTCCCGGGGACGAGCCCGCATGGGTAATCGGGCGCCTATACACAGGGGAGACTAGCCCGGAAGAACCACGCGCAGGGCCCCACTTAAATTACCGAACCGAGCGGGGATTCGAACCCAGAACCTCTGAGGAGGGAAGGAAAACGCCCACCAACTCGGCCATACGCAGGTGGGTACATTCATCCTGAACTTTGCAACACTAAAAACCTCAAATTATGCCCACTGTAACACGTTTATCTTAAACTAACCCTAAACTCGTGCGACACACATTCCCTCCGTCAAGATTTCATCACATGATCCTTTAGCCAAAACGACATAGTTTTTACTTCACTTAAGTCACGTGAGCGCTACGTCAACACCGTTTCTAAGGTTGCTCATTGATAGAACCTTGACGAAAGGTGAATGTGTCGCACATGTACAAGTTTGGGATTTTTGGTGTAAAATTTTTTTATAATAAATTTATTACATTAAGCATAGCTGAGAGTTTTTGGTGACCTTTTTATATTAATAATATCATCATCATCCAAGGTTTGTGAACGAGAAAAGAGCAATCCTGTGATCCATATGTTTGGATGAGGGAAAATTAATTTAAATACATCCAACTCATTTTTTTCCGTAGTTTATAAAGCCAATTTTTCTAAGTCGAATCCTTGGCAAAGGATTAGGCAAAATTATGACTCTCAGGGTCCGTTTATTTTGCAAAAAGCATTTTCCAGGAAAATACTTTCCTCATTTTCTAGCTTTTGGTTTACTCAGGAAAATGAGTCAACGGAAAATATGTCATTACCAAAGCTTAAATTTAGGAAAATAATTTCCTCTTTGAAAGAATCGGAAAACGTTTTCTGAACTATGACTAGTTATTGGCAATTGGATCCGAAACTTTAAACTTGTGCACAAAAACCCCAAAGACATTCAAGACCAGGTCTCGGCGGCCAGGCTCGAAACTTTGGTGTCCAAGGCCTGGGCCCCCCGTGCCCACACCTTGGTCCATCGAGGCTGAGCTCGAACCCCTAGTGTCCGTATCCGATGCTCCGGCACCCGAACTTGAGTCCATAAAGGCCGTGCTTAGATCCTCAATGCTCGAGCTCTAGTCTTGACCCTTTGGCCCGAGTCCATAAAGGCCGTGCGTAGGTCCTTGGCGCTTGGGCTCGGGTCCTTAGTTAATGAAATGTTTGTTCTTATAAAAATATTTATTTAAAAAATTCGAATTTTTATTTTTTAAAAAATCATTATTATTATTGAACTTTTTTTAAATTTTAAATATTTATTCTTTTCTTTTCTTTTCTTTTTTCTTTCTTTTTCATTTCTTTTCTTTCTTTTCTTCCTTTTTCTTTTGCTTCTTCCTTGGTCGATCACCAGCCATGGCGACGGCCAGTGAGGTTGCGACCTCTGGCGGCGATCCTCGAGCTTGCCCGAGGCCGGCGAGCTCGCGGCCTCTGGTAGCAAGCCTCAAGCTCATCTTAGGCCAGCAGCTCGAAGACTGCTAGGATCCAGGCCGATGAGCTCAAGGCATGGCCGATCCAAGGGAACCCAAGCTCACCCGCCCGAGCTCCATCAAGGCTGGCGAGCTTGCGGCTCGCCAAATCCAAGTGAGCTCAGGCTCGGCCAAGGCCAGCGAGCTTGTGGCTTGCTAGATCCAGACGAGCCCGAGCTCGGCCAATCCGAGCGAGCTCGGGTTTGGCCAAGGCCGACGAGCTCGAGCTCGCCTGTGGCCATCGCCGGTCGAGCCTCGAGCTCGCCGGCGATCACCATGACCGGTCACGGCGGAGGAAAGAGGAAAAAGAAAAGGAAAGAAAAGAAAAGAAAAAGAAAAAGAAAAGAGAAAAAATAAAAATAAAAAATAAAAATTCCAATTTTTTAAAAAGAAAAGAAAAAAGAAAAAATAATTAAAAATTCGATTTTTAAAAAATAAAATAACTAAAAATTATAATTTTTTAAAATAAAAAATATTAAAAAATTCAATGTTTTTTCTGCCCGAAAGAAAGTCATGAGATTAAAATTATTTTCCAATAAAATCCAAACATCAGAAAACGATTTCCATCGTGTATCACCAAACAAAAGAAACTAAGTGTATTCCTGAAAATTGATTTTCCGAAAAATATTTTCCTTTATTATTAAATTTTCTACGAAACAAATACACCCTTAAATGAAGACTTATGTCCAGATGGACTCGTACCCGTAAGTACTGTGTACTAATTCTTTTGAATACAATCAAAGTATCAAAGCCCAATAGCTTGACCGGTGATTTTCTCTCACTTCAACTGATGAATAACTTACTTTTAGGAGATGTTGTGGTTTAGATAGACATTCATATGCATATAACTTTGATTATATCATGCCATAGAGGTTGATGTAGCAAAAAAAAAAAAAAAGGCAAAACAAAAGGGTTAAGTACAAATTTAGTCCTCTTAGCTTCAGCATTTTTGCAATTTGATCCTCTAACTTTTTGAATTAATGCAATTTTATTCTCAAAGTTTTATTTTGTGCAGTAATACTCTAACTACCTTGATATACACCATTAGGTGTTTTGTTTACATATTGTGTATTGGCATAAATCCAATAAGTTTGGAATTTTTTTGGTAATTTTTCCTTAATTAGGAAATATGTAAACTCTATCTGGGGATTCGACAAACCAAGTATATTGCGAATTTTAAGAAGGTTTTATTTGTAAGGATGTTCTCTTATAGAAAGACATCCGCACATTGAGCGGTTCCTCGATTTTTTCAGAAGGTTTAACAAATTAGGTGGCAACATGCTTATCTTCAACTTGTGCTACCAAAGCATATATTTAATTACGAAAGCTGTAAACCCTATCTAGCGTTTCGAAAAACCTAATCTTTGACCGGAGAATTACCATTAATATTGCTGCCATTTAGCTAGATATAATTTGTGTCCAGTTTTATCCAGGCTATATCTTCCCATATAATCCATCTTCGGCCAGTTTTGTCGCTATTTCCTGTTGAGGTCCATAATACCAAAATTGGGCGAATGTGACGAGTATAAAACGCTGGCCATCTCTCCATTGTTTCATGTACTTCTCCTTTAGCTTATTTCAAGGTTTTAGGCTCTTCATCTCTCTTTGCCATGGCTGTTTACAAGGTTTTTCTCATATTGGCTATGGCCATGGTAGTTTCCGCTATAGACAGTAATTGGTACGATGCGCATGCAACTTTTTACGGTGACATGAGTGGTCGAGAAACAATGCGTAAGTAAAATCTCTTGGCAAGGTGAAAGAAAGAAGAGCCTTGCTCTAAGTCTTATTATCCTTTCTTGTCCTCCTTTGCGAGGATTTATATACAAATGGATAATTAGGCTATTTCGTGTCGCTAATGATTGTTGATTTGTTTCTGGTTCGTGGTCATTACACGCAGAGGGAGCTTGTGGATATGGAGATCTTTTCCAACAAGGATATGGACTAGAGACGGCGGCGCTAAGCACAGCCCTTTTCAATGACGGGCTTAGTTGCGGAGCTTGTTTCCAGATCGTTTGTACGAACGATCCGCAGTGGTGCATTCCGAAGGCCGGTTCGATCATAATCACCGCAACAAACTTCTGCCCTCCGAACTACACTCGAGGCAAAACGGACGCCTGGTGCAATCCTCCGCAAAAGCATTTCGACCTTTCTATGCCAATGTTCACTAAGATTGCGTACTATAAGGCTGGAATCGTTCCCGTCCGCTATCGCCGCGTCTTGTGTTCCAAGAAAGGAGGAGTCAAGTTCGAGATTAACGGAAATCCGTACTTTACCCTTGTGCTAATCTATAACGTCGGCGGTGCCGGGGACGTGAATGCTGTAAAGATCAAGGGCTCGAACACCCAATGGATTACCATGACTCGTAACTGGGGGCAAAATTGGCAGACCGCAACTGTTTTGACGGGGCAAAGCTTGTCATTCCAAGTCACAGTAAGCGACGGGACGACACTAGAATTTGATAACGCGGCGCCTATTGGGTGGAATTTTGGGCAGACATATGATGGGGGAAAGAATTTCTAGTTCGTACATTTTTCATTCCAGTGCTTGTATTATGTTGTTTAAAGGGATTGATGCATAGATTTCAAGTCCCTTTTTCTATTTGTAAGGAAGGATTCAATAAGTTTGATCAGTAACTAATGCCATCCATCGTCTCATTTTCACTTTCCATTATCTGTTTGTAATTATGGAAATGCCCTTATGAGTGGAAAAAAAAAAATCTAGAATCATGTGTTTTCTACTATTATCACGAGAGAAAAAACCGTAAAAACCTCAAAGTATATCCACAATTGTTATGAAATACATGAATGAATATTCATTATATTCAGTGTACCTATTATGGTGCATTTGTAACCTACATACATGAATGTATATACAATGTACCTATTATGGTACATTTGTAACCTACATTCTACGTACAATCTCCAATGAATGTTTATCTCCCTATTCAATGTATGTATTCAATACATTGACATTAATGATATGTGCATTCTTGTTTTCTTATAAATAGGAGTTTAGTTTTGGTCATTGTGTAAGAAATTAGAACATAATGAAAAGAGACAATATATATCGTTGGTGTTTATCTGCATTCTCTACTTAATCTCTAATTTCTCTATTATATACTTGCAACGCAATATTTTACAACATGTTATCAGCACGAAGATCTATCAACTGAGTAAATAATTTTTGCAAGTTGTCAACATAAATGCAAATGGAAAATACCGAGAAAAAGGAAGATGTTTGTTTGCTTGATAGTGCATCAACACATACCATATTTCGTAATAGACACTTTTTCTCGAGTATGACATTACGTAAGACACATGTCCATACAATATCAGGTCCTATTCCGATTATTGATGGTTTCGGGAATGCCACAATTGTTTTGCCAAAAGGCACTATCCTACATATTGAGGATGCGTTTCTAAGCAGTAGATCAAAAAGGAATCTGCTTAGCTTCAAAGATGTACGCCGTAATGGATACCATATTAAGACTATTTATGAGCAAAATAAAAAATATATTGGCATTACCTCTTATAAGATGGGCCTGAAGACCATCCATGAGAAGCTAGAAGCTTTTTCTATGGGTTTGTATTGTGTCATAATCCAAACTGATCAGGGTTTACCAATCTCCAGGATATGGTGGAGTAGGTTTCAACGGCCTTAATCATGAGGAAAACTCATTACCAAACCTTCTATAACAAAGGTTAATCTTGAATCCCCTTTGTTCCCGCAAAAAATTCAAGGTGATATTTGTGGACCAATACAACCACCAAGTGGACCGTTTCGATATTTTATGGTACTAGTGGACTCATCCTGTAGATGGTCCCATGTTTGTCTATTATCTACGCGCAATGTCACCTTTGCACATTTACTTACGTAGATTATACAGCTCCGGGCACAATTCCCTGATTATCCAATTAAAAGCATAAGGATGAATAATGCTGGTGAATTTACATCAAACAGTTTTGATACGTATTGTGGTTCACTCGGAATCGAGGTTGAGCACCCGGTCGCATATGTTCATACTCAAAATGGATTGGCAGAATCCTTGATTAAACATATCCAAATCATTGCCCGTACTCTATTATTGAGAACGAATCTCAACTATACAGCATAGGGTTATGTAGTTTTGCATGCGGCAGCCCTAATAAGATTGCGCCCCACTGGTAGTCTCTTACAATCTCCCCTTCAAATGGTTCTTGATTATGAACCTGATATTTCACATTTACGCACCTTTGGTTGTGCAGTACAGGTGCCTGTAGCGCCGCCAAAAAAGAACGAAAATGGGTCCCCAATGCCGTTTGGGCATTTATGTTGGGTTTAATTCACCGTCCATCATTAAGTTCTTGGAACCAACTACTGGTGATCTTTTTACTGCCAAATTCGCAGATTGTCATTTCAATAAGACTATGTTTTCATCAATTGGGACACCTAAAACTGACATGGCTGCGAAGCAAAAACCAGTTAACGTTTTCTCCTGGAATGAGAAAAATTTATCTCAATTAGACCGAAGAACTCTTGAGTGTGAAAACGAGGTGCAACGCATAATCCATTTACAGGCTATGGCCAATAGACTTCCTGACACATTTAATGATGCTACTAAGGTAACGAAGTCTCATATTTCAGTTGCAAATGCTCTAGCTAGGATAGCTGTTCCCGAAGGATAAGCTAAAATGGATCAAAATCCCCCACACTTGAAACGCAATAGATCGATAGGATCAAAAGACATTGTTCCTCGAAAACGAAGGGGAGAGAATCAGGAATCTGCTCCAGAAGAACCTGATGTTATGCTCGCTCCCAAAGAGCTTATTGCCCCTGAAGAGGCATAAACCCATGAAAAGATCACCAACCCTGGGAATACTGAGAATTCCATTACATATTGTAATGAGATTTGGGATCGGAATGAAATCATCATTGATGATGCTTTCGCATTCTCAGTTGCTCATAAAATTATGGATGATGATTGTGAGCCGCGATCTATTATTGAATGCCGTCAAAGGCAAGATTGGTCTAAATTGGAGGAAGCAATTAAGGTTGAATTAGCTTCCCTAGCCAAACGAGAGGTTTTTGGACCCATAACTCGCATCTCCGATAATGTAAAGTCCGTTGGATATAAATGGGTATTTATCCGGAAACGAAATGAGAAAAACGAGGTTGTCAGGTATAAAGCCCGACTCGTTGCCCAAGGATTCTCCTAGAGACCTGAGATTGATTATGATGAGACATATTCACCTGTGATAGATATGATTACATTTCATTTTCTCATTAGTCCGGTACTATCTGAAAGATTGGAAATGCGTCTTATGGACGTTTTGACGGCATATCTATATGACTCATTAGACTCGGATATTTATATGAAAATTCCTGAGGGATTCAAAATGCCTGATGCATGCACTCCCCGCAACTTATTCTTAATAAAATTGCAAAGATCTTTGTACGGGTTAAAGCAATCCGATCGCATGTGGTATCAACGCCTAAGTGAGTACCTAATTAAGGAAAGGTACAAGAATGATCCTATCTGCCCATGCGTGTTTATTAAGAAATCATAAACCGGATTTACTATTGTAGCAGTTTATGTGGACGATATAAATTTAATTGGAACTCCAGAAGAGTTAACTAAAACCGCTGAGTATTTGAAATGGGAATTTGAAGTTAAAGATTTGGGTAAAATCAAACTTTGTCTTGGTCTAGAGCTTGAGCATAAAGCAAATGGAATACTCGTCTATCAATCAGCATACATTGAAAGATTACTTAAATGCTTCAATATGGACAAGGTTCACCCATTGAGCACCCCTATGGTTGTAAGGTCTCTAGATCCCTAAAAGGATCCGTTTCGTCCTAGAGAATCTGATGAAGAGATACTTGGTCCTGAAGTACCATATCTTAATGCAATTGGGGCTTATATATACTTGGCATAATGTACAAGACCAGATATCCCTTTTGCGGTAAATTTATTGGCACGTTTTAGTTCTGAGCCAACTCGGAGACACTGGAATGGAGTTAAACATATTTTTCGTTATCTCCGAGGAACCATAGATTTGGGATTATATTATTCCAAGGATTCCACTACCTCTGGTTTAGTTGGATATACTGATGCTGGATATAGATCTGATCCACATAAAGCTCGCTCTCAAACCGGTTATTTATTTTGTTATAACGGCACCGCCATTTCTTGGCGTTCTACGAAGCAATCGCTAGTAGCTACATCTTCTAACCACTCTGAGATTATTGCTTTATATGAAGCTGGAAGAGAGTGTGTTTGGTTAAGATCCGTTATAACACATATTCACAATTCTTATTGTTTAACACCGGTTACAAATTCTCCCACTATAATTTATGAAGATAATGCTGCTTGTGTTGCACAAGTTAGGGGAAGATATATCAAAGGTGATAGGACCAAGCATATCTCGTCGAAATTTTTCTATACTCACGAACTCCAAGAAAGTCGACAAATTGATGTGAAGTAGATTCAATCCATAAATAATCTTGCAGATCTTTTTACCAAATCATTGCCAACGTCAACTTTTGAGAAATTAGTATTTGGCATTGGTATGCGGCGAGTTCATAAGATGCAAGATTGACTAGCCCTAGCAGTGGCTATATAGCTCAAATTGAGGGGGAGATATTATGAACTATGCATTGCACTTTTTTTTTCTTTCTGTCCGGTTTTTTCCCACAGGATTTTTCCGGCTTAAAGTTTTAACGAGGCAATTAACGCATCTACAAAAGGGAGAGATCTTAAAATTTGTGCTGTGTACTCTTTTTCCCTTTTGTCTGGTTTTGTCCCACTGGGTTTTTCCGGCTTAAGGTTTTTAATGAGGCAGTATCATTCAATGCACATTCATAATATAATGAATACAATGAATATTCAAGGGGGAGTGTTATGAAATACATGAATGAATTATATTCAATGTACCTATTATGGTACATTTGTAACCTACATACATGAATGTATATACAATGTACCTATTATGGTACATTTGTAACCTACATTCTACGTACAATCTCTAATGAATGTTCATCTCCCTATTTAATGTATGTATTCAATACATTGACATTAATGATATGTGCATTCTTGTTTTCTTATAAATAGGAGTTTAGTTTTGGTCATTGTGTAAGAAATTAGAACATAATGAAAAGAGAAAATATATATCTTTGGTGTTTATCTGCATTTTCTACTTAATCTCTATTCTCTCTATTATATACTTGCAACGCAACATTTTACAACAACAATGACATATTTACCATGAACTTTGCAACATTAAATATCCCAAACTATGCCCATTGCGACACAATTACCTTAAACTAACCCCAAACTCATGCGACACATGTACCCTTTGTCAAGATTTCGTTAGATGATTTTTCAGCCAAAACGACATAGTTTTTATTTCATTTAAATCACGTGAGTGCCATGTCAACACTGTGCTCATTGACGTAACCTTGACGGAGGGTAAATGTGCCGCACAGGTACAAGTTTGAAATTTTTAGTGTAAATTTTTTTTTGTAATAAATGTATTACATTAAGCATAGTTTAGAATTTTTTGTGGCCTTTTTATATTAATATTATTATCATAATCCAATGTTTGTGAACGAGAAAAGAGCAATCCCGTGATCCATATGTTTGGACGAGGGAAAATTAATTTAAATACACCCAACTCATTTTTTTCCGTAGTTTATAAAGCCAAATTTTCTAAGTTGAATCCTTCGCAAAAGATTAGGCAAAATTATGACTCTTAAATGAAGACTTACGTCCATATGAACTCATACTCGTAAGTAAAGTATACTTATTCTTTTGAATACGTTCAAAGTATCAAAGCCCCATTTTTCTCTCACTTCAACTGATGAATAACTTGCTTTTAGGAGATGTTGCGGTTTAGATAGACATTTATATACATATAACTTTGATTATATCATGCCAATAAAGGTTGATATAGCCAAAAAAAAAAAGGCAAAACAAAAGGGTTAAGTACAAATTTAGTCCTCTTAGCTTTAGCATTTGTGCAATTTGATCCTCTAACTTTTTGGATTTATGCAATTTTATTCTCAAAGTTTTATTTTGTGCAGTAATACTCTAACTACCTTGATTTACGCGATTACGTGTTTTGTTTAAACATTGCGATTAATACTGTCAATTGGAATCTTTTGTTCTTGCTCGCTTTTATCGTTCGTTTTATGCTCATTTGGCAGCAAATCAGTATCCCGCGTCAGTTTCCGTCATCCCCTCAATAACACCACACCCTCAATTTATTCGACGGCTTAGTTGGAGTGGTCGATCGAAGGATTTATGTAAATGAATCCAGAAAGTGAAAGAAATCGGTCGCGAATAATAAAATAAAATTAAAGAAAAAAATCAAATCGCACGAACACTGAAACTCAAATGGGTTAAAAATATGCACTTATCCAAAATGACCAAAAAAAAAACCAAAAAAAAAGAAAAAAAGAAGAAATCCAATTTGCTTCCAAGCAAAGTGGGAGTTGGTGGTAGATCACTTCCCTAGATCTTTTTCGTTTTTTTTTGGTCGAACACTTCCCTAGATCTGATCCCCCATCGGGCTAGCCCAAAAACGAACGCCGTTTTGGCCCATCAGTACCGCAGATCGGTCCCGCTCCCAAGGGAAGAACAAGGGCGTTTCCGTAATTACGCTCCGAAACGGCGACGTTTCTTCCCCGCCCCTTTTCGTTTTCGTCGCTCCTCTTTATTACGGGCGTCGGCGTCGTCGGCGTCGTCGTCATCAATCCCGTTTCAGAGACTCGTATTGAAAAATCACGACACTCGCACCGAAGAGAAGCAAAGATAGCTGCGAGATTCCTCCATAGATCCTCGGCTCCAAAGATCAAGCATACGCTCCCGTGCGCGCGCGCACACGCGGATTGGTGAGGGCCTCGGCGGAATCGGCAATGGCGGAGTGAGGTCCGCATGGCCCAGTACAGGCAGTCCGGGTACCGGGACCACGACCTACTCCACCACCACTCCTCCAACGGCGCGCCGGATCGCCACCTCCCGATCGGGGCCCGGGCCGCCGCCGCCGCCGCCGCCGCCGCCCCGCAGCAGCACAAGCCCGGCCGCGGCCGGCGGTCCGCCCGATCCGAGAAGGGCCGGCGGTGCTCGATCGGCGCCGTCGCGGTCGCCCTCGCGCTGGGCCTGGCCGTGACGCTGCTGGCTTACTATTGCCTCTCCAGGGACGGCGGAGGTCAGTTCCCGGTTCGGAGTGCGCGGCTCTCCCTTCCTCTTTTCTTTTTTTTTTTTTTTGGCTCCCCCCTCGATGTGGTTCGTCTTTTGGTGATTGTGACTGCTGAGGGTTGGCTCGTGTGTGAATTGAGGTGCTTGGGGTTTAGTGATCTAGAAAATGGCTTCGCTTGATCGAGCATTCTCTCTTTTGGTTGCGGAGGTCGTTTTTGGTGTTTTCGTCTTTTGATTGATTCTATTAAGGTCGTGCAATTGAATGCCTGATGACACTATCAAGTTGATAGGCATTTGAAAGAGCTTTTGTTTCCTCGGGAACGGAAAAAATGTATCTCGAGGTGTCGTTCCAACGGCAATATCTGGCTCAAAATCAGGTAGATTTTGGCCCTTGGTTCGGAAGATAGAGACGAGGGTAATGTCGGTTTGCTTCAATGTTGGGCTCTAGACAGACGATCTGCAGATTTTTCTTTTTGATCAGCATACTACCTATGACATGATCTGTAGCAATACTGTCAAAGCACTATTTACGTAGTTCAGTTTGGCCATATTGGTTGCTCAGGTTGTGTGTTTTAAGCATTCGTTTCCTATTTTTAACCTTTTGGCAGATAGAAATAGTTATCGAGGCGAAGAAGATGACTTGAAAAGCGACCTCGACTTCCTTGCAAATGTAACACGAACTGAGAACGTCAAAGTCCTTGGATTTGGACGGGGTTCAGTAGCGCATGGGCGGGACTCAAGGTATTGGGACCGGGATGATAGGAGAAGGGATGAGGATTACAGCGAAGAAGTGGTGGAGAACACTAAAGTGACTTTTGACGATGCATCTTCAGATAAGGGCCGCATGTCCGCGAAAGGGAAAAGTGGTAGCAAGAAGTCCTCTGTTGACGATTCTCGAGGTGTCGGTCGAAGAGGAGCCGGACTATATAATGAGGCTGGGCGCAATGAACTGAAAATGTATGAAGCAGAATATGAAGCATCACTGAAAAGTTCTGGCCAATCAATAAAGCAGACTGGCAATAAGAATCAGTTATCTGATACCGGAGATGAAAATGAAGAGTTTGATGCTGAGGACGATTATGACGGTATCGATCTCCATGATGCACATGATAATGTCTTGAGTGATGATGGAGATGATTCTGATTTGACCATATCTCATGAAGTGAATAAGAAGTCTTACCAGGGAAATGGTCTAGAATCTTCAAATAAGTTTGAATTTGGTACCAAGGGTCGAAATGTTGCTGAGGTAGGTGATGAAGCATCAAAGAAATCATCTCAGAAGGTATCTGACAATAGTTTGGATAGTCTTACGACAAATTCCAGACGTAAAAGTGTCAGTGATGGTCATGCAACTAAAAAGTCAACTAAAAGAAAACCAAAGCGCCGTAAGTCTTGCTCTTCTACCTATCTTTTCTTCAATTTTTCTCTTTTCATGTTTGCATTCTGGTTTTTCATCATCAATACTACGGTAAGAAGTTGAGTGCGTGCTTGTTACATTATATCCTTGGATTTTGAGTACTTTGACCCATTTTAATCAAGATCTTTAGACTACTGCTTTGTAGAAATAATTTGGATTTAAATTTTAATTCGTACCATGGATGTTGCACGTTCAAAAAGCCGTCAAAGTTGAGATTCCTTAGACCTTCCACTAAAGCATCGAGAAAAAAGTCAATGATGAAGTGATGATAGACAGGATGTTTCATGATGCCTGTATTTTATAAGATAAATGAATTCAATATACACCGTTAAATTTGAGGTTTGGTAGAAGTTGAGTTTGTTATTAGGGAATAGAACAGTTGGGTTTAAAACCAAGTTTATCTATATTTGGAAACAGGAAGTTGTTCTTTAGTCATTGGTGAATTTGCCAACTGTTGGTTTGAGTATCGTGGTATTTCTTGCCTGATGTCATAAAGAAAATTTCAGGTTCTTGTGAGATGAAGCTATTGAATTCTACCGCACAGCTTGTTGAGCCATTAGAGAGTCGAAAATTTGCTAGATTTGCACTGCAGTATGTAGAGATAGAGGAAAAGCCTGATTGGCAACCAGAATGGAAGCCCAGGTTTTCTGGGCATCAAACTCTCCAACAACGAGAGGACTCATTCTTGGCTCGTGATCAGAAGATGCACTGTGGCTTTGTCAGAAGTCCTGATGGATTCCCAAGTACAGGATTTGACTTGTCAGAGGATGACGCAAGTTACATTAGTAGATGCCACATTGCTGTAAGCTCTTGCATTTTTGGGAATTCAGATCGTTTGAGGACACCTGCTAATAAGATGGTGCGTTTTTCTCCTTATTACTTTCCTATTAGAAACTGAAAGTTTGCTGCTTAGCCTGTTTGTTTGGAAGTTTTCTCGACCAAAAAGGTTTTGTTTCTGCATCTTTTCCTTAGAAAGAGAATCCCAAGTGATTTGCTTCTGTACTTGTACTCGGGGTAGCACTCACCAGCCATCATGCTGTTCAAAACTTGATATTTTAGTTCTAATGTTGCATTTCTGTTAAAGGCCTGTATAAATATATTCTTGCTGGTCCTATCATATGGTTATAGATGAAACATTTTCTCAGTGACACTGCTTTTTTATATTCCCTTCCACTTGTGTAAGAATACGGTTGGAGGATGATGCAATATGTTGCATTTGCGTGTTCCTTGTCATCCCATCAAGTTGTGTGCCGTGATTTGATATTTCTCTGACATTGGCTTTGATCTCCTATCAAAGTACATAGCATGCATTTTAGTGGTTGCTTTAGTTTACATTTTGGTTTTACCATGGTCTTGAAAAGATTAAGATTATTTTATGTAAAGTATTAACAAAAAGCCCTTTTGGACCAATATTAAAAACACTATATCTTTAAGCAGATAACGGAAAAAATCTGAGATGACTGTAAATGTTAGTATTGATATGTTCCTGAAGACTTAGGTGCTCCATTGTACTAGAAATATGATTTGAAGCTTTTAAAGTCAAGCAAAAGTCCAAAGCTAAAAGCAACAAGCAGAAGTCCAAAGCCTGAAAGCAAGAATAATCCTAAACACCCCTTCAGTAGTATCAGGGGATGCAACGTTATAGAAATAATTTGGACTTCATGTACATAAGTACATACGTATATACGTATGTAGAGAAACGTAATCTTATGTGGACGACTGCTATTGGATGCGTCATCCAGAGAAAATTCTCTAAATAAGAGGTAATCTTCAAATCTTAAAATAGATTATTATATGAAACATCAAATGGCTAAGTGTTTTCAAAGATATAATAAGAGATAGAATAGTTACTTGCCATTTACCAAAACATATTCTTGTGCGTCGTTTGAAGGACCAAAGTTAAGTAGACGCTCAAGAAAAACAAGAGAAAGGCTTGATGAAGTTGGATGGAGAATGAAATTGTATGATGTATGTGTTCTTCCACTTTCTTGATAGTATCCCTTGTAGTATAAAGGCTGTTTTACCACTATTGACAGAGGTGGTCCTGAGATTATCTCCCGACTTTTTCACTGGACCACCTTTGTGTGCTGCCACAGAATGTATTTAGAAGATTTTACTAGTCCATTTCGACGGGCAAGTTTTCCTACTTTGGATTCCAAAGCTTCCTCCAACTTGGCAATTTTATCGATCCTCTAGGATAGGCTCCCTGTTTTCTTCTCTTTAAAGTTTGTCTTGAAGGAAGCCTATTCTGCTCAATTGGATGCCTTTAATCCCTGTGGTTAAGGCATTCACCGTCCTTCAGTTCATCAGTTAATGATACCCGTTCAGTTTTGCCTATACTGAACTCTGCAACGGCTTGAAGCTGTTGGAATTTCTGGTAAAACTGAAGGAATATATAACTAAACCGGATGAACATTATTTACCAAAATATAGCGCAGACTTGAGAATATTCAAAACAGACTGAGTACCATCACCGGCACAGCCCACATTGGAAACAACAGCAAACAGCAGACACAAAATTACACATCTCGCAACAAAGAAGGCGAGTCTGAGCCGAAGAGAACATGTCCAGGGACAATTCCTGGGTTCCATATTCAGCTTCATCTCGGGATGCAAAAAGCCTACCGAATGTTGGAGTGGATAAGTAGAAGATACTGTCCTCTTTGCTGCCTTCCTTATTGGCCAATTTTGCAGCACCTCCATTATCTTCCCGGGACATGCGACTCCTATATATTGAAGGAAAAGTCCCTAGGAGTTTCCTGCTATCCAGAATTAGAGGATTTAAATCTTCCATACCATGGTTCTCCCATCTAGACTAGAATTTACTGTTACCCATGCATCTACTTTGAGATATTAAGGTTGAAATATACTGCATGTTTACCCAAAAAGCAAAAAGGAAAAAGGAATATACTGCAAGCTGGCCACATAAACAAGCATGCTGTATGCCTGAAAGGAAAGATGCGCAGAAGATCAGTCTTTCGTCGAAATGAAAACTATACTGCATGTGTGTCTGGATTATTGGGTGTTTATGCGATGCAATAGTTAAAACATACGGTTAGACAGGAAATCTAATGGGGCAGGTGATGTGCTTTTGTTATGATTCCAAATCTTTCTTTTGCTATATTATCTTCTACTTTAGTTGAAATTGATGGCCAACTGAGGTGTTCGATTTAGGTTCTTTTCTTGTAATCCAGGGATCTTGTTTAAGTATCTGGAAATGCACGATAACATGCCAATGGGGATTAGTACTTAATGCTGCTTTGGATGAATGTTCTCAGTAAGACAAAATACAGGCATCTGCTTTCACCAAATGCTTGTGGATACCAATTTTTTTGCTTGTCGAATTTTTAAGAACTATTTTGTAGTTCATTAATATAGTCAACATGCTAGGAATGCTGTATGACCATAATTGGTCTAGTTGCTTAATATATGCATGGGAATCCTGAAAGTATTTTGTACTTCTCATGGTTGATTCTACTAGCACCATCTGTTGCAGATCACTCGTTTGTCTAGGAAAAATGTCTGCTTTGTTATGTTCGTGGATGAAGTTACTGTGCAGACGCTTACTTCTGAGGGGCATATGGTGGACACGATGGGCTTCATTGGTCTCTGGAAAATTGTGGTGGTAAAAAATCTACCGTACGATGATATGCGGAGAGTTGGCAAGATACCGAAGTTTTTGTCGCATCGGCTTTTTCCATCTGCAAGGTAAGCTAAAATGGTTTAGGCAGTGTGAAGAAAAGTGATGAGGTAGTTTCATTGCTGTTGTTCTTGTTTGTTGCCCTTAGCAATTTGAACAGTTTCCATACCCCATAAAACGGATAATCTGTAGTGACTATTACAAGATATCTGGGCCCTTGATTCATCCACAGCATGCTTCGACAGGGATTTGGGCCTTCATTTTGGCTGTCTTCACAATTGCAGTCGAGCAAAATGTGGCCAACAGATTCAGCTGCATATTACTAGGCAGCATCTGTTGACCTTCTATTTCCTCTCTTTCTGCAGCTACGTATGCAAAGAATAAGTGTTCTTTCCTTTGAAGCAGAAGTAAACATTTTTTTAGCTATTTATCTGAAAAGATTATCATAAGCAAGGTTGCACGTTCTGGCTATGAGTTTCAAGGAAGTAGCCTATTTACTCTTGCAGGTTCCTTCCAAATGGACTGTACTTGAATAGTTTCTTGGTGAATTTTACCCTCCAGTAGACAATAAAAGAGGTGCAAACATACTGGAGCATCTCAATGAGAGATTATTCATGGCAGTGTTTTGCTTGATGTTGGATTTGTCCATGAGAAAATGTTAATGCACGCAAGTGCAAATTTTAAAGGAAAAGAGATAGAACTGCTGCTGTCTAAGTTGGAAACAGTAAATAGAGGTAGGACTTATTTTGGTTCGGTTGTTTGTACATATTTGTCATGACGATGATCATAGAATTAACATGGGTGGACTAGAGGGGAAGGGTGTTGAATGTTATCAACGGAACACTCAGCAATCCATATGTTGTGTGTGTTACAATTCTCAGGTATTCAATTTGGTTGGACAGCAAGCTTCGACTCCAATTGGATCCTCTGCTCATTTTGGAGTACTTCTTGTGGCGGAAAGGTTATGAATATTCAATAACTAACCACTATGATCGGCATTGTGTTTGGGAAGAAGTAGCTCAAAATAAGAAGTTGAACAAGTACAACCACAGTATCATAGACCAACAGTTCACATTCTACCAGTCTGATGGCCTCAAGAGATTCAATCCATTGGATCCAATGAAACTTCTCCCTAGCAGTACGATTTTTGTTCCCCAATGATCATCCTCTATCTTCAATTCTTATGTGGCTCTAAGTTGCTGCAAAATTTATTAATTTGGATTTGTTCTCACTATTTTCAATGTGTTACTTGTAGATGTGCCGGAAGGATCTTTTATTGTCAGGGCACACACGCCAATGTCAAATCTATTTTCCTGTCTTTGGTTCAATGAGATTGACCGGTTTACTCCTCGTGATCAGCTTAGTTTTGCTTACACATACCAGAAGTTGAGAAGGATGAACCCAGAGAAACCCTTTCATCTTAATATGTTCAAGGTAAGTAGCTTATTCTATATAAATCTGTATTAAGATTGTATCAAGGCTTGAATTCAATTGAATTCCTAGGTGCGTGTCGAAATTGTGATGAAGATGTCCCTGCTTCTAATAAGTCCAATTACTTCTGCCTTTTACAGGATTGCGAAAGGAGACGTGTAGCTAAGCTGTTTCGTCATCGGTCAGATGAGCGGCGGAATACTCATCAAGTAGAGATCAACTGAATAGCAACGTGGGTACGACCCTCTCCACCCGGTTTCTTGGCGTCATTCGCAGCGGCCTACTCGTTTGATGCATATCAGGATAAAACTGCTAAACACCACACTTTGGAAAGCGGCATTTGTTGTCAGGAGACACGATTTTGCAATTAGCACGCTAGAAAAAGTCTGCAACGATTGCTGGCCTTGGTGCCTGTGCACCTGATGGAGTGAGTCCGAATATGTGCTGTTGATTGTGTAATTCTACATAGAGTAGAAAGCTACGACTCCCCACCATTCATCCAATTTATTACCATTCTTTGCTTCATCACGAGGCTGTGAGGCACCCAAATACTTTACAAGGTTTGGTTCCGCTACGGCTGTCAATTTTTTGTGTTCTTTTTGCCTCGTCAATGACTCATGTTCTTTATCTGTAAGAAACTTCAATTCAATCTTTATGTGATTGTACAATGGCATCATCTCAAAGTTATATTTTTTTATATGTAACTTAAAGGTCTAAACAAATTCATATTGGGCATCTTTCTCAAGCTTCTCAGGAAGTTTGAGTCATTGTTTTGTTCAAATGGGGGCGTCTTAGAAAGACTCGATCCATGAATGAGTACGGGCTACTATTCAAAGAAGGGTGAATTTTCCGAGTGCGTGACATTACTGCCCATGTTTTAAAGCAATGCTTTTGACTAAAAATGTTGCATATTAACACCAGACAGGCACATCTCGGATGGCGCCTACGGGACATCACTGCCCTATGACTTCAATCAACACTTCCCATCAGGAAGAACTGGTGCGTCGTATGTCCTGTTTTTTTTGGTGTACGTAGGTGTCTTGTCCGTCGTTTTGATATTTGCATATCTGGTAATTTTGGAAGTTGCTGCAGCACACTTTGTCATCTTTATCAAGGAGAAGCATTCGACTTCTCTCTGCTATCGAGTGCATCTCGCATCGGTGAATGGCTACCCTTTCTCTGAAAAGATCAGATTCAATCACGAAGCCCACATCGTGCAAAACTACTTTCGTATATTCACATAAGTTATGGCATCATATCTCGGCAAGCCACTCGTTTGAGCTCGGCCGGTGGTCGAGTGAGGATAACGGCGTCCACATTTCGATACTAAAATTCATTCGGACACGCATTTAGCTAGTTCGAGCCAGATATGAGAAGAATAGTCGTATCTAAAATCGGTTTTCGAATTTATTATGTCAATCCGCACTTATCTAGAACTAAATATTCTATGACTGTTCTTGTGGGGGCACGGGTTAGGTTCAAGTTCAGCTGCTCTTGCAGGAACACGACAGAATGCTATTCTGTATTGGACGGTACCTACGATCGCTCCATTCGTCACGTATTATGTGGGCAGTGGTCAAAGCGAAGCAGCAGAGTGGCAACTTTCTCCCCACCAAAGTGGACTTATGTCCTCTGAAAGTTCAATCCCATCGCACTTGACCTGAAAATTGTTTGTGGGTGCTTACTGAGGAACCAAAATTTTCTTAAGTCTGAAAAATCTTTTGTATCAGTGCGTGGCCACCATCGAGCGCCGCCTGTCGCCTTTTCCTCGCAGTCCTACCCTACGCCATTTCATCATCAGCGATCGAAATTGGACTCATTGCCATTGTCACTGACGATTTGGAAATTTTTGGTTGGACTTTTGGATCTGTCTGTGCCCTACTTTTCCTTGTAGGTTAAGATGTCTTCGTTATCATGAAATGACCTCCCGGCTCGATGATTGGTTTTTCACAAAAGCTTTACTCTGTTCAGATGAGACACATCAATGACCACTAGCATAAAGGCGAGACATGGAATGGGAATCGCAGCAAAGATCGCGACTTCTTGTGAAGTGAAGACTAAATGAACTTGTCAAATTAAAATATCTAATCATATATGATATATCTTCATTCAATACATGGTACGAAAACAAGTATCTAGATTTTGTATATCAATTTTGTAAATCAACCTTAATACATCGATGTTATTATATGTTAGACAACTGGGACGCACAACGGTTTGTGAAGTGCATGCTTGTGAAATACGAGTCCACCAATAATTGGTAGTGGATGTGGGAGATGAGTTGGTGTGCATTTGAAACGGGAGTCCACCAATAGTTGTTGGGATGGAGATGAAGCGATAGAGACTAACAGATAGTAAGACTAGTCTATGCAATTGATTTATGATCTACCTTTCTAAGTTCTTGATCACATTTTTACCACGAGTTAACAAACTGGTTCTGTAATTTTATAACATCAACACAATCTTGATACCTCGATACTATCCAATAAATGGCATAAGGTGTTTGATAATATTGAAAAATGAAATACATAAAACTTAACTACTTGATTTAAGTGCTGATAACTATAAATGCTGAAAGTAGAAAAAAGAATTTTTGTTTGGCGATAGCTATAAATTGAATATCGGGTGTGATTGCTTTTTTATCATACATGAAATTAGAGGTGATTGGTTCCCAATTCAGTCCGGTTCCCAATTTGGAAACCAAGGACCGGACCAGTCCAATGGAACCAGTCACTTTTTTTTTTTGAATGGTAGTGTATTAGTTCTTATAAAAACTAGATGCTTTTGTTTTAAAAAAGAAGCTGGCCCGACAATTCCATGGTTTCCACGAGGTGGTGTCCCATTCAGCTGTTTAGAGTGTTCACATAATATATTGGGAGGTGGTTGACGTTACCATTTTAATTTTGAAGGGCGAGAAACTCTAGCAAGTGCTGGGACACTTCCATGAAGATTTTTGTCACGTCCCAGCCAAGATTGTGACCCGTGACATACTTGTGACGTCCCATTAAATTTTTATCTTGCAATTACGGACAAGCGGAAGCATATAATTGGGACAATCACAACAACATTCAAACAATGGGGTTAAAGCAGACATCAAGAGCAAATCATATATTTACATGATACTTAGACATTTTACATGTCAAGCCTATTTATATGCTCCTTTCTTTTCTTACAAGCCGATACACGCATGTATACCCACTATAACAAAGGTTGGGTTACACGTAACCCCGCTATTGATTCCTCTTCAAAAAGTTCCTCCAAAAAGTCCCTTTTCGCAAAACGCTCGGTCATTCCCAAGTCCAATTGGCCGACTAGGCCCCGTTCGCGGTGGTCCCAGGTGCTGGCCCATGGGCATCGCCGAACGGACCATTAAACCCACAAAGGAGTCCAATCAGTCCGCCATCCTCAGTCCACTCATACCAGGCTTCGAACACATGCGGAACGTTTTGTTCAAGGCCTTCATTAACCATGACTTGGGAAATGACCTTACGATATACTCTCCCTCCAGCCGCGTCGATCACATCCAAAATCATCTCCACAGAGGTTCCAAATCGGATCGGAGTAGCCGCTATCCTATGGGTCTGAGGGAAAAACAACGGGGAATGAGTCGTTGACTCAATAAGTAAATTCACTAATTTCAAATTAGAAGGAATTAATCGTCATTAGACATGCATTCAACCTTACCATCTCGGGTATCGATGGCAAATCAATAGCGAGGATGTGCTCACTATCCAAACATCACTCATGATGTAATGCAATTGCCAAGCAAACATAAAACATGGTATTTCCATGATGTGCGTATCAACAAATGCATGGAATTAATGCGGTTCATGCACCATGGCGTGCGTACTAGGAGACGTGTCTAGACTCGTGCTTTGCTTATATAGACAACCATATAAACAAAATCCGCATTAAATAAAGTCCGAGCATGCTTCAAGATTAAACACTAGCTAATAATGTACTGGGTCATCCTATCCCGAGATTAGGGAATCTGCTTACTCTACTTGACAAAGCGAGATTTTGTGGGGACCAAGTGGTGACGTGAGAATGAAGTAGTGATTGGCGTGAGCAAGAGAAAGGTGGCGTGAACAAGAGAGAACCGGTTGGTGAGGGTAAGCGTGGAAGGTGATGGTGTAAGGAAAAAGGAGACCAAGGGGGACCCAAGCCTATTTATAGTATGGTCCACTCATAGTCCTAATGAGCTAAGGTCGAAATCCATTAATGAAGGGGTCCTATAGTCTAAGCTTCATTATGATGAGGCCTTAAAAGTCTTTGGTCATAATTAAACTTCTTATACAAGCCTTTAATTGAGGCCATTCATCTTCAACTTAATTTCCAAGTTTCTACTGTAACATCCCGAATTTTGACGTTATCGGAACCAAGAAAGCGTATATTAATTCTCGTGTGATTTTAGTGAGTCTCGCCTAGACTTGATCAATCACGGGATACTAACCAAATGGGAAAGGCTAAATAGGAGCAGTACGTGGACCGAGAAAGACGATCGCGATTGGACACCGATTTCGAGAAACGTCGAGGGAATATCTTGAGCCAATATGGGCCGATCTTAGGAAGATAATAGATTTGATATAGTTAGTAACGTACGATTGGATCGCGGGTGATTCCGCACGACCGAAAGCGCCCGACAAACAAATCCCAAATTATATCCGAACGATCGCGACCCCGTACTAGTGATAATCTCTCACCTTCTCTCGAGATTTGAGACTATCGAGACTCGGACAGTCTTAGGTCGATACGCGTAACACCTAAATGGCCACCCGTTAGTGAGAGATCCTAAGATTTCAAAACGAGCTATTTTGATCGCGATATTGAGCCGAACTCCGATATCAAAATTTCAAGGGTAATTATGACTATTTTGTAGGACGGACGTCATTTTATAGTGGCCAAGTAAGTTTGGGACAAGACCGGCTGAAAATAGGAATTTCGACAAAAATTGGGAAAATTACGGTTTTGCCCCGTGGGGCGGGGCGGGATTCGGAGGCCGTTTGAGGTTATTTTTCGCGGCCAAGGTCATTTTGGAGTGGCCACGTACATTTAGAGTGGTTTTGGACAAAAACGGGAATTTCGGCAAAAATTGGAAAATAATATTATTTTATTCCGGAACTTCGCAGAGCGATTTTCGAAGGCGTAGAAAGTGAATTTCGCGAATCCGACACCGTATTAAGTCTCCCATGAACATATAGGACCGGTATGGACAAAAATTGAAATTTCGGTCCGGGATCGGAAAATTACGAAAATGCCCCTAGGCCATTTTAATTTATTCCGAAATTTGGATAAATTTTGGGGACTAACTAAGGTTAAGTAGACCAAACCAGACCTGGTCAGCCTTGGTTAGGGGCATTTGTCCATTATACCCTTGAATTATTGGAGAGGAGTGAACCTAAGCCATTGGATTCAAGGGCAAGTGTCAAACCCTTGGATTGTTGACACTTGACTCCACTCACCCAAGTTTGACCACTTTTGACCTTCTTCTTCTCTCTCCTCGTCCTCTCGGCTCACGTTCTCTCTCTCCCGAGCAGCTTCGATCGTCCTCTTACGCCGCTCCTCGGTCATTCTGCTCCGCCGCCACTTGTTCACGCCGGAACAGCCCGCACCGCCGGAGCCGCGACCTCGGCCTGCCTGACAAGACTCCCCCCGGCACCGCGCCCGGCCTCCGTCGACCAGCCCCACCCCGCATTGTTCGCCA